CCTGAGAGCTGAAGCTCGCATCCTTCCGGAGGATTGGCAGCTGATTTTACGGACCAAATGGGTGGTATTTTTACCATGGACCAAAAATAGGAGGTGTCCTATTGGGCTTAACACACACACATATGTATATATATATATTGAGAACGGCAATGTGATTTTATTTGAGAAACCAAATGCCATCAACCTCCAACTTTGGGTTTGCAACGGTTTACCCTCTGGTTATTTAACATAGCCATGGAAAATTGCCCATTTATAGATAGTTTACCTATAAAAAATGGTGATTTTCCATGGTGATGTTAAATAACCAGATGGTATATCATGGTAAATGAATTCTGGTAAGTCATGGGTGGTTTATGGTTGTGGTGTCCGCTGACCTGCGTCGCTACGTCTCGAAGGAGAAGAACCCAGGTGAAGACGGGGAAGAAAGTTGGCGATCCTTGGATGGCTCACCATGGGTGTCCGTTAAGTGCCCTATCAATGGGAAAAACCATGGTTTCGGGTACCTATATCTTAGGAACCCGCCACGTGGCAGGCATAGAAATACAAGATCCAGGGTCGGAGGCCGGGGCTTGTTTTCATGTCACCAAGGATCTGAACTCCTGGATTCGTGGCAAGACTTCCAATCTCTGGCACAGAAGTTTGAGGAGCCTCACATTGCTGGAGACTTCTTTTCCAAAGTGCCTGGGCATGTGCGGTTTGAGTTCTCAGAGAGAGTTGTGCATACCAAGCACTAGGTGCTTGGAATTTGAGATTTCGACCCCTCAGAAGGCCGAAGGGTGGGATCCTTCAACTTTTTCGTTAGGGCTCCTGCAATTCCATTCACGGAGAGTGGAAGCTGTGAACCTCAGCTCCCCTCCTGGAAATCGCCAAGTGGAGTTGGTTCCCCATGGAGTCTGAGTAGTCCATGTTCCTCAGCAAACCAGATCTCTTTGATCATGGGAATCATCCCCCAAACATGTCAAAAACAGGACTTGTTTCCAGTGGGGGATTGGAATCATCAACCAGCAGCAATGAAAGCAACAGATTTTGAATTAGTAGTAACAGTACAAGTACCAGTCATATTTATCATCAGAGCAACAAGAATAATCATTGCTCTTTGATTACTGTGGGTATGACGAAAAAAAGTCATCATGTTCTTTTCCGCCAACCTGCTGCGCGTCAGACGCGACTATACCAATATGGAGCAATGGAGGCAATCAAACATGGCAATGGAAAACCACTTAGCAATAGTTCGATGATTTTCGCATTTAAAGCCTCAAAAAAAACCACCATGAAATCACCATGAAATCCCTATGAACCCCCATTGAATCACCATTTTTGCAGTAGAAATGTCTTCTTTCTAGCCATTATGGCACGTTATCCCACTAAGTCCCAATAAATCAGCCTTAAATCCCATTATGTAAATCACAGTTAAACCCCAGTAAACTACCATTAAATACTATAAGTCCATAAGACCCTATAAACATATATAAACATATATAAACATATATAAACATATATAAACATATATAAACATATATAAACATATATAACCATATATAAACATATATAAACATATATAAACATATATAAACATATATAAACATATATAAACATATATAAACATATATAAACATATATAAACATATATAAACATATATAAACATATATAACCATATATAAACATATATAAACATATATAAACATATATAAACATATAAAGACATATACAACCATATATAAACATATAAAGACATATACAACCATATATAAGCATATATAAACATATATAAACACATAAAAATCACCAGTAAATCCCTTTAAATTACCATGGATTTCTTGCCCTTTCGGCTCCGTGTCAAGGTGGCCCCCCGTGTCTCCAGTGGCATTTTGGCTGCAGCCTGGCAGCAGCTGCAGGTGCAAACGCAGCTGGTGCGGCGCCAGAAACGCGCCGCTCGGGCGCAAAATCGGGGAAAACCTGGGGGATTTCGAAGTTCAGCAGCAAAAATCGTGGTTTGAATGGATTTGAATGGGATTTAGCCAGCTAACGTAGGGATTTGAAGTGGATTTTGAAGTAGATATAATGGGATGAACGATGGGATTGGGGAATACGTGGGAATGTAATGGGAGATGCAAACCAACAGACATCCGGGTTGCTGTAATCGAACATGCCAAAATCATTAAACTAAATCAATTGATGGACACCTAAATGGGAAAATCATCGAACCAACTAGATTGGCATTTACATGGCAAATTCAGCCATACATCGGATCTTACATTGCTAGATTTGATTGCCAGAGGGTAGGAGGATCCGGGAGGACAATGCCAACCCCGGATGAATAGATTTAATCCTGGTTGATAAAATATAGGAGGACGCTTTATTTTTGGGTTTACGCAGTGGGCAAATGGTATGTCGTTTTTTCTTTGTCAGGGATTTCGGGATTTGTTGGGATCTTTTTCGGCCATTCCATGGATGCCATGGTTGTTTCAGGCAATGGAGGAGGTGAAGAAGATTATTGAGGAGATCCAGGGGCTTCCCCGGGGAGTTGGTGATTCAACAGAGCAGGCCATGCAAACGTGGAAGTTGAGGTTACACATGGGTAGCACCATGGTTTTAAACCCAATGAGTTGGGATATGATCCCTTATTTAATAAATATAGATGTAAACATAAACATAAATATGAATAAGTGATAAATAAAACAACAACATAAATAAACATAAATAAATACATACATAAATGTACATAAATAAATGCATACATAAGTATAAATAAGTAATTCCATACATAAAAATAAATAAATAAACACATACATACATACATACATTAACATAAACAAGTAAAAAACAAATAAATAAAACGCATAAATAAATAAACATAGATAAATCGATAAACACAAATAAATGAATGCATACATGTGAATCGGAGGTTATCTCCCCGATTATGTACTGATGTTTGGTCTTGAAGTGGTTGTCTTCAGTGATGACGGCACACGAGTTGCGGCTTCAGCATGGCGATACTTTCTTCCGGTACTGCAGTAGTCTTGAGCCAAAGGGGCAAGTTGACGCACCCCTTGGCGGTGGATCCTTGAGGGCTGAATTATGTGGGAGTGTACAGTGTTCCGTAGCCTACACTCTATTCGCACCCCCCACGCATGGCCAACTTTGTTGGCCACGCGCAAAGGAGTGTCCCTTGAATTGATCCACTACATCTGCAGCTGTTCATTTATTGAATTATGGAGAGCTAAAGTCCGTTCAGAACTTCAAATCTACATGGCGGCTTGCTACGATCTCTACCAAAGGATAAATGTTCTGTTCACATGCATGCTGACACGACGTAGTCGGTGTCCGGCATTGAGGTTCATCCGATGTGGCGTAGCCAGCATGGAATCCCACTCAAGCATGTGAATTAAAAAAAATCGAAACACAAAGATGACTATGGAACTAGAAGTTTACCTTCCCGTTCCTTCGTCGGTTGAGATGTAGACCGCTGTAGAAACTCAGCGTCTCGTGCAATGATGTTCAAAAAAAAAAAGTGGTTCTAAATTAGCCGGCTCAAGAGTCCTCTCAGAAATCATTCGAAATGAAGTAGAGGTAAGTCTCGAGCAATGATTGCATCCTCGCTTCGCCAGATTCAATCAGGACCTATGCAGAGGTCATATCGATTTATCATCTATATCCCCATCCATAGTATCCATGTTGGTTCCAGTCTCCACCACGGTGTGAATAAGATCTTCCACCTTTTCCTTGGTCTTTTCCACCCTTCTGTGGCGGGGTTACTGGAGCTTGTTTTGGCGGAGGAGCGGCTTCGACGGTTCTCCATGTTGCTGATGATGATGCTTTCGCTTTTGACACTCTGCCCAGTGCTGGTGCTGCCTTCGGGGCTGCTTTCGATTTGCCAGCGGCCGGGTTAGCACGTTCACGATCGGCAGGAGTTGGGGTATCAGCAATCGCAAGTATGTGAGCTTCTGACATGTGGATGCCCCATCTTGGTCGTTGATCATCCCGTTGTTTGATGTGGTTGTAGTCATCGATTGCATCATACAGCTTCTGGAGTAGAGGTCGTGGTAATTGTCGGCCATTTTGAAGGATCAGGTGTAAAAGTGATATTCTTCGAAGTGCGGGACGAAGAGCACACACAATGTCAACTGGGTTCAGTGTGATTGTGTCTTGAAAGTCGACGTTCCTGAAGAAATAAACGGCATTCACTCTGTATGCACCTGCGATGATTCTCCTGACCATGACATCTTGTCGGTCAAGGGCTTCGCGGGCCGCTGTGGTCTTTCTCATCTCATCCATTGTTGTGTCACGTTTCGACAGCTTCTCCATCTCCTCGTCATAGAAGATGTTTTGCAAGTCATCATACGTGTAGCCACATTCAAGAGTATATATGAGAAGTCGCTTGAGTACCACTGCCCCATAGTATGCATTGACGAATCCCTCTTCCCGATGTCGTCCTTTTGTTTTGGTCGGCCGATCTCTTTGTAGAGCTCTTTCATCTGTTGTGCAGTTGGTTCGATGAGGTCACCATTTTCATCCTCGCCTAGGTAAGGCACCCTTGAGTCCAGGTCCATCCTGAATTTCTGGTTCTGTTGAAAGTGTTTCCATGCCGTCTCGATGTCTCCACAGAAGTTCCGTTGGAATAGTCTGTAGATCCTGACGATATGTAATCCAATTTGCAACAGGAGGATCTTGATGAGCTCCGGCTGAGCATCTCCAATTGTGCAAGGCTCGATTGGTAGGACCTTTGATCCAAACTCAATCCTCTTCATCCACTTGGGGTACTCAATCACTGCATCACGAGCTTCTCCAGCCTCATACTCCTCGATGTTGATTTCATCGACCGCTATCTCTTCATCGTCATTCTCGTCGGTCGGTTTTCCTTCCTCATTGAGAAATTTGTCGACCTCATCTTGTTCTCTGAAGTCTCTTCTCTCATCATTGATGTCGCCCTTCTTCGGGGCTTGATCATCATTTTCTTCTTCTGGTTGAGGTTCTTGTTCTGGACTCTTCATGGTGACGTCATCGTCATCTTGCATCAGCTCGTCTTCATCATCTTCACCTGTCAAATCGATCTTCACCTCCTCCCATGCTTTCTTGACATGGTCTTTGAGATCTTCTTCTCGATGATGTGATTCGGCACTTGGTACTGTAGCCACGGTGATCTTGATTCGCTTCCTCCATCCATGACTCACCAAAAATCCTTTGCACATCACACAAATCGATAGTGGTGCAGGGGTCTCCATCAGACATGCGGGGCATAGTCGATGGTCCTCCTTGCTGGGATGATGAGTGACTGCTAACAATGATATTGCATCATTCCAATCCGGATGTCCAGGGAACAATCTGTGATTATGACTGAAGTGACCGGTCTTGATATCGACAAGCTTTCGAAGTTCGTTCAGATCGGGTGATGATTCATCAGGCACAATGTTCCCAATGAGTTTGTCAAATCGTTCAATGGTGGCCACCCTTCTTGCTCCTTGCACGGAAAGTACAGGTTGATCTCTTCCCTTTGTGATCATGAGACGGTAGTAGTCCTTCTCCTTCCAATCGTAGTACCAAACTGCATCGAATGATTCGAATGGAATTGTTTCTTGGACCAAAATGTGTCCGTCTGCTGATAATCAAGGGGAGAACTTGGCGATGGAATCGTACGTGATGTAGATGTAGACAAGATCAGTTTGCTCAATCTTCCTGAATCTCAGCACCGTCTGACTTCGCACGTCCCATGGTGCGAATGGCACGAAGAACGTATTGATGCGGTCTCCTCCTCCTCCGGGACGTAGTCCTTCTCTGAAGATTTGAGCGATGTTGTCAAAAGTGGTGCAGTGAAATCCTCCTCCAAGAGTGTATCCGACTCCAGGGTTCATCTGATAGGAAGTCTTCTTGTCTTCGATGTGCACACCGCCTTGAACTCTTGAATGTGCCATAGGGGCACGGATTGCCACCGGCCAAAGCCAAATCTCTCGATCTGCTGTGCCGATCTCCAACCTCAGTGTGTGTCGTTCAAGTCTCGAGGTCAATCCATCATTGAAGTTGTTCATGACGTATTCCAACTCACCTTTTGTGACCTTGAGTCCTAGCACTTGAGCTCGGATTCTTTTCGTTTGCTTGTACTCAGTGAAGATCACTCTCTGGAAATTGTTCCACCTCTCAACAAGTATCGGGTAGTTGACGTGGGTCGTTCCAGCCAATGTATGTTGGTCTCTCCAAATGGCGTCGTACTTCAAGATCGACTCAACATTGACCCAACCTGCCTCATCGCATGGTAGTCCACGGTGATTCCGATTGTCCTTGACGCAACCCACGGAGTGGCGTAGCGCTGCATTGAATCTTTTCGACAATTCGACTATCCATTGCGGATTTTCCCACTTGTTGCCCATCCACTCATTCTCGCCATATCGATGCACCTTACTCCATCCAAATCCAAGATATTCTTCTCCATTGATGCGAGCAAGTTGAAGTGTACCAATGTTGTGGCCATGTGTGAATGGTTGGATGTACTTGAAGTTCCAGTTGTCTCCATACTGTTTTCTTTCTTCAGTAAGCCATTTTACATATTCATCATGATCAATGGGGTTCCAAGCGTTCAGCTCCTCAATGGTCGGCAAAACAGGCGGGGATTCCTCAGCCGCACGCTCAATCAGCATATCAAGCTCATGACGATTCTTCACACCTCGGCTAATTGGGTTGACTTCGACACCATTCACTAAGTACTTTCCTCCTTCTTCACGATCACCAATGTCGTACATAAAGGCTGACTGACTGTAGAAGCACTTGGTCACTTCTTCTTTCTCAGTGAATCTGGTTCTTCCCCAACGTTTTCCTCGTGGCATGACGTTCTTTGGGAGCTTGTCTTTTCTGCCTCTGGTCGCAGCTTTGGATCTTTCCGATGATGATGGGGATTTGGACTTCTGATCCATGATCAATCTCATGCGCCATAGGGTGTCCTTCATGTTCTCGTCATCTGGTGTGGTACATTCATCAATGTCATGCATTCCACCACAAATGAAACAATATTGAACACTCGATGCGTCTGCAATCAGCTTCTCAAATCGATCACGGATGTTCCGCACCTCAGTTCGGCGCTTCTTCGCTTCCGAAGGTTGGCCCCCCATGTCATCTTCCTCCTCCTCAATCTCGATGTCACCAGCTCCGGCATCGGTTTCTCCTGAAGTCTGTTCCGCTCGAGGGCCCCGCGCCGTAGGCGTCGTGGTCTCCTCATCAGGTTCGCCAACTTCATCCTCCTCTTCATCGCTTGATGAGACCTCAATCATTTCAGGGTGGTCATCGTAGTTGGCTTCCGGGAGCACCGGCATTCTGGTGATCTTCTTCTGCAGGAGTAGGTCGAAGATTCCCGCTTCTTTCAAGACTGTTGTCACCATGTCGTTCTCGACCGGCGGGATGTATGCTTTCCTGGATCGGTTTCGCTTTGTGTTGATGGTGTCGGTAGGTCGACATGAACTGCTGAATAGCCAGAACGACTCTTCCAGTCCTGCGAGGCAACTGTCAAGGTTTGC